GATTGTGACCTGGAAGGGTAAGCCAAATAAACCCTTTCCTCCTCAAGTTGCTTTGGAGCATGGTGATTATCACAACACAGAAAAGTAGCCTCGAACAGCTTCCTACCACAGCAAGCAAAGTTATAGGGGATGTAGGTGGGAGGACAAGAATGTGAGGGATGGTTTGTGTTGGGAGCCCAGCTGAGGACCTTGGCTTGTCACTTGCAGGCCACACCTAGTTCTAAACTCTTGGCAAAAGTTGAGAAGCAAGATTGAATATCCAGTCCATCCTCATCCCAAGTGGAAAGGCCCAGGTGCAGAGCTGGGAGGGATTGTTTAGATGGTAGAAGGTTCTAAGTGATGCTGCGGGCAGGAGCACAGGGGTAACCCTGGCTTCCAGATCTTGCTTAGAGGATGACTAGATGGCTTTTGTTGGGGGCTTGATGGGGTGTGCAAGAACTCAGAGGTGCGAAATGAGTCCCACGTTAACCATCAGATTGCCTTTCTCATGTAGCTGCTTGAAACCAGGTATGGTCCTACCCTGAATTAGGAACGAGGGATCCTCAGGGCTAGGAAGATGGAAAGCTCAAGTGCCTACTGTGCACTAAAGGTCTGAGTTTCATTCACAGAACCCCAGTGAAAAAGCTGGGTGTGGTGGCATGTCCTTGTAATCCTAGGAGAGGGAGGTGAAGACAGAAACATCCCTGGGACTCACTGGCCAGCCAGCCTAAGAGACAAGCCCTGAGTCAGTGAGAGACCTTATCTCAAAAACAAACAAACAAGCAAAATGGGCTGGAGAGATGGCTGTGTAAGAACACTGGATGCTCTTCTCAGCTCCCACATGGCAGCTAACAACTGTCTGTAACTCCAGTTCCAGGGGATCCAACGCCCTCTTCTGGCCTCTGTGGGGTGTTGCATTCACATGGTGCACTTACATGCAGGCAAAATACTCATATACAGAAAATTAAAATAAAAAAACAAAATATTTTAAAAAAAGATAGATGGTACCTGAGGAGCAATATCCAAGGCTGACCTCTGTCCTCCACATGCATACACACGTTCGAACCTGAGTGCACACACATAGGCACGCATGCCCATGCTCATTCCTTGACACTGCAAATACAAGAAAAAAGATTTGAAGATTTGAGGCTAGTTAATACCTGACACAGAGTGGACCCTCCAACAAGCTCTGCTTTTTCTTTTTTTTGTTTATTTATTATTTTTAAATTTACTTATTATTTTTATTTCATGTGTATGAGTGTTATGCCTGCATGTATGTGAGTGCACCCATATTGTGCAATGCCTATGGAGGTCAGAAGAGGGTGTTGGATCCCCCTGCAACTGGAGTTACAGACAGTTGTTAGCTGCCTTAACCACTGATCTATCTCTCCAGCTCCTTGTTTTCTTTTTTAAAGATTTAAAAAATATATTAGTGTGTGTGCATGTGTCTGTGTGTGTGTGTGTGTGTGTGTGTGCATGTGCACATGTGTGTGAGTGCCCATGGAGGCTAGAAGAGGACGTTAGACCTCTTGGAGTTGGAGTTACTGGTGGTTGTGAGCTGCCTAACTTGGTTGCTGGGAACCAAATTCTGGTCCTGTACAAGAGCTGCAGGCATCCTTTACCCCTCAGCCACCTCTCTAACCCCAGCTCCTCTTTATTTGCTGCCATGGTTGTTGATAATAGTAACAGAAGAGGAGTTTCTTATTCTTACAGAATATAGCTTACACCAAGCTAACTTTTGTGGTCATAATCTGACTCCTGTGTCCTGGGCTTGCTGTGAAGGTCAGAGAGAGATGTGTGTGGAAAGCTGTGTACCATAGCAGGAGTCCCAGGCACAGGCACACTGTCCCCTCCTCTTTCACAGTGCCCATGAGCCAGAGTGGTGGTGCAGGGCTTGGCTCAGCACAACCTGTGGCTGGGCTGCCTGGCTAGAGTCCTGCCCTGCCCTGTTGCCTTTGCTCGCCCTCTGCCTCCCCTTCTGCAATGTGAGAGTCATGAGAGTGTGGATAAACACAGGGTATGTCAGACAGCCTGGCACACAGTTGCCAAGGGGTGCTTTTCTTACTGCTCTCATGGATCTGGGTGGGCTTAGATTCTGCTTCTCTGACTGGCACCACTGACCCCGGGGAGAGAGAGTTGGGTCCTGATGAACTTCAGTGTCCCCTGAAGTATCAGCCACTCCAGGACCCATCCTTGGTTGGTTCCTGCCAGTAGATGGCTGAGCAGGCCTGGGGTCTTGTGGGTGCACCTAAGCCACAGTCAGCTCTGAGCACTGCTCCAAGGAAGTAGTTGTCTGACTAGCATCCCATAAGGACTTTTTAAAAAAGCATTTATTTATGGCCAAGCAAGATTGCTCAGTGGGTAGGGGCACCTACTGCCAAGCCTGGCAACTTAAGTTGAGTGCTTGGGACTCACATGGTAGAAGGAGAGAACCGACGTCTGAAGTTGTCCTCTGACCTCCTCATGTGCACTGTGGCACGCAGGTATGTGACACAGACACACAGACACACAGATATACACACAGACATACACCCACACGCACATGCGCAAATAAATAAGTAAATAATAGAAAAAGCAGAATTTCCCTTAAAAATTATTTATTGTTAGTGTGTCCACATGCATGCATACATGCCATGACACGTGTGTTGAGGTTGACGGTCAGAAGACAACTTTGTGAAGTTGATTCTATCTATTCACATCCATGAGGGTCCCAGGGATTGAACTCAAGACTCCAGGCTTGTGGGGTAAGCGCCTTTACCCACTGTGCCATGTCACTCACTGCCAGTGAGGACTTCTCACTGAAATGAGAAAACATATTCCCGTATCTGTCAATGGAGGAGGAGCAAGCCTAGCCTGCAGATGTAGAAGTTAGGGTTAACATCCTAGCTGTGTGACTGCAGACAAACCACCTAACCTCTCTGAGCATCAGCCATTCCTCCCTCCTGTCAAATGAGAATACAGTCATTATCTCCCAAAATGGGTAGAAAGGAGACTGCGATGTTGAAGACAGATTTAAAGCATTGGCCCGTAGGGCCTTGCATCATCCACCTTACCACATTGTGACCTGCTGGGTAAGGGTAAGGATCCCACCCCCCAGCAGTCCAGCAGCAAAGGGTGAACAGCTCCAGAGTTGCATTCTGATGGCTCGTCAATATCTGTCTGTCAGCTCCATCCTCCGGGCAGGTTCCCAGGTAGAGGTCTTTAGGGTCTGGCATTTTATATTTGAGATCTCAATTATGTTGCCCGGCCCTGGGCTTGAGGAGCTCATGGGAGCTGATGGAACCATTTTGTTGTCAAGGAGCTGGAGGTTGGAGGGCTATGGAGGAGAAGGGAAGTATAGGATCGCTGGGAGCAAGTGTCCTAGGCAGGGCTTTATATAGGAGTATCTATGAGAGGGGCCCAGATGCAGGACACTATGACAAAGGTCTCAGAGATCACGGTTTGCTCACAGGCTTCCAGAAGGTTCACACAGGGGAGGCCCAGGCTGCTGTGGATGATCCCCTGTCTGGGGACATTGCTACCCATCAAACCTTCTTCAAAGACAAAGGGCCCAGGCAAGAGCTCTGGACTCTTGGAAGAGCCAGGCTGCTACAGATGTGACATGAGTTGGGTGAGGTTGGCAGAGTGCTCATCCCCCTAGGCTTCAGTGGGTCATGATCTCTCCCTCTGGGCAGCATGTCCCCTTCTTACTTCCTGCCTTCCCCTGCTTAACACCCTACAACCCGCAGCAGCGAGCGCCCCCTCCTGGGCAGGAGGATGCTTACAGGGAGAGGTGCTGAATACATGCTCAGGGTAGGACCTGGGATCTGATCCCTGAAGCAAAGGCTCAGAGAGCGCTCCAGGATCTCAGATATCATCCAGGGTGAGGGGATGGGGTGGTGGTGTGCAGGCTCTTGCAGCAGATGTGGGGTAGGGAAAGGACACCCCACTAATTCCCGTGTCTTCTGGCCTCTAATCTCTCTGCCCGCCTGTGTCTCCCTCTGCCTCTCTTGGGTGCCTCCCCTCCTCTCTGCCCTTTCCCCCTTCCTCCTTCCTTTCTCCTATTATCCCTTCCTCTGGGGCTACAGCCCCCCTAAGCAAGTCTCGAACATCTGGACGAAGCGCAGCCCCTCTGTCAATGGCAAGCTCTTGCCCTTTGAGGAAAATGACCCGGTGGGGGCCGGGGGGGGGGACATTTGGCAGCTCAGAGTGGGTAATGGAGAGTACCATGTAACCAGGGCAGGGGCACCCTCCCTTTCACCTTCAGTGGGAGAGGGAGGGACAGAGCGGTCACTGGTGAGTCTTTGTGGAGTTTCCGTGGTGGTGTTTACAACCAGGGACAATGTTGTTTCACTGGGTTTCCTCTCCTCTTTCTCCACCCCATGTCTAAACGCCTCCTCTTGTCTCTATTTCCAGACCAGCCCATCCTTCCTTTCACCTTTGACTTTGTTACTTTTCTTTCTGCAGAGCATCTCTCTGTCTTCTCTCTGACACTCCACCCCAGAATGGTTCTCTCTCATCGCTCCTTTACCCCAGCTGTGCCCCATGACCTTCCCTAGGTCTCCTGGTTAAGAGGTCAATCTGTGTTTCACTATCTTCTGTACCATATCCAGCATTTCATCTCTCTTCTTTCCTAACTCTTCCTTCCCTTTCTTCCCCTCCCTTCTTCCTCTGCTCCTCCCTCTTTACCTCCATCCCTCCTTCTCTTTTCCTGCCCTTCCTCCTCTCTTCCTCCCCTCCTCCTGCTTCTCTCTCTTCATCACTTTCTGCTCCCTCTGCTCTTCTTTTCCCTCCTTCCTCTTCCCTTCCTTCTCCCCTCTCGTCTGTCTGTCCCCCACTCTCTCTCCATCTTTTTCCTGTCTTTGTCCTCCTCCCCCCTCCTCACTCTCTCTCCTCACTCACTGTCTCTCCATCTCTCTTTTTCCGTCTCTGCCACCCTCTCTATGGCCTTGCATCTCTCCTTATTTCTGCCCCACCCCATCCCCATCACCCTGCCCTCCACTCCACCCACCTTTACTCTCTGTGTCTGCCTCCCTTTCCAGGATGATCCCAGCCTCTAACAAAGCCTTCGTGGTCAACAACCTGGTGTCGGGAACAGGCTATGATTTGTGCGTACTGGCCATGTGGGACGACACAGCCACGACGCTCACGGCCACCAACATCGTGGGTTGTGCCCAGTTCTTCACCAAGGCTGACTACCCGCAGTGCCAGTCCATGCACAGCCAGATCCTGGGAGGCACCATGATCCTGGTCATCGGAGGCATCATTGTGGCCACCCTGCTGGTCTTCATTGTCATCCTAATGGTCCGGTACAAGGTCTGCAACCACGATGTCCCAGGCAAGATGGCAGCGGCCACAGTCAGCAACGTGTACTCACAGACCAATGGGGCCCAGCCTCCACCTCTGGGCGGGGCACCTGCTGGGCAGCTCCTGCAGGCACCACCCAAAGTGGTGGTGCGAAACGAGCTGATGGACTTCAGTACCAGCCTGGCCAGGGCTTGTGACTCTTCCTCCTCCAGCTCCCTGGGCAGTGGAGAAGCTGCAGGGCTAGGCCAGGGTCCCTGGAGGCTCCCAGCTCCTGCCCCTCGCTCCAAGCCCAGCCTTGACCGCTTGATGGGAGCCTTCGCCTCCCTGGACCTCAAGAGTCAAAGGAAAGAGGAGCTCCTAGACTCCAGGACTCCAGCAGGGAGAGGGGCAGGGACATCGGCCAGGGGCCACCAATCAGACCGAGAGCCACTGCTGGGTCCCCCAGCTGCCCGTGCCCGGAGTCTGCTCCCTTTGCCCCTGGAAGGAAAGGCCAAACGAAGCCATTCCTTTGACATGGGGGACTTTGCAGCTGCAGCTTCGGCTGGCTACAGCCCCCCTAGGCGGGTCTCGAACATCTGGACAAAGCGCAGCCTTTCTGTCAATGGCATGCTCTTGCCCTTCGAGGAGAGTGACCTGGTGGGGGCCCGGGGGACATTTGGCAGCTCAGAGTGGGTGATGGAGAGTACTGTGTAACCAAGGCAGGGGCACCCTCCCTCTCACCTTCAGTGGGAGAGGGAGGGACAGAGTGGTCACTGGTGAGTCTTTGTGGAGTTTCCATGGTGATGTTTACAACCAGGGACAATCATGTCTCACTGTCAACAGCCTCTTGTCCCTCTGCCCAGCTGCACCCCTTCCCCCATATCACCTTCCCAGGCCTGTCCCCACCACCCAGCTGGGGGTGCTCAGGGAATGGGACTCGCTCAAATGTCAGACTGAGCCCTCAGTGTTTGGAGAGGCCACACACAGCCTTTCTAATCACAAATGTAGCGACAAGCAAGTGGCTTTGGATTGCTGATGGATCCAGTGTTGTTTTGATTTCTTAATTTATTTTTCCATTTCCCAGACTCCTCTTCTTCATTCTTACAGATAATTGAAAGTGTCCTCTATGTGTGAAAGTGTGCTCCCAGCAGCCTCTGGGGGTGGGAGTGGGCGAGTGGTTGTTGAAAATCAACAAGGTATGAAAATGACTCTGGGTGGGCTATGGAGCCCCTTGCCCAGAGTCCTCATGACCCTAGCCGCCCCTATACCCTGATCTGGGAGACATGAATGATGTATAGCTGACCCGATTCCCTTTGCTTCTCTTACACAACACCCACACCCAGCACTGAGCTAGAAAGCTGACCCTGGGACACAGGTGGGCTTCATGCTATGTGAAGGGACTCTTGTTCCAGGCTTGCTTTGGGGGTTAGAGACTATGTTGATCAAGAGGGCTCTTAAGGCAAGCAGATGTGGTGATGGGGGACACCTTGGACCCAACATCTGCGTTCTGGAGGCACTAGCATAGCCCACTGAATTACATAAGCAAGGCCTTTTCTCTCTTTGGACCTCAGTTTCCCACCTGACAAAGTCTTCGGAAGGTTCTAGAAGGCCTCCTAGGATGAATTAGCTCTCCCCAACTCCAGGTGTATGGTGTCTAGCTGGGTAGTACCAGCAGCACAAGACACTAGAGCTGTCCCTACCCCCAGTGGATACAGAGACAATGTTCTAGAAGTTTGAAGAGGAAGCTGAATCTTCCTAGAGACACACTTCTGGAGCTTGGGGGTGGTCTGCAGCCATGTCTTATTCCTTCCTTTCCCTCAGAGCATGAGATTTGCCCAGGAGGACCAAGCCAGAGCAGGGGCTAAGGCTGCCTACCTCATGGGGAAGGTGTTTGGGCTGTCTTCTCCCTGACTAAGGTGGTTCTGTGTTCAAAGTCTGTTTCCTATATGTTCCTGAAGAAGATGGCTGGACTTGGGGGTGGATGCCTTCTCATAGTTCCCTGTGAAGAATCCTTCCATGGAGGTGAGGGGATGGAACCAGGAGGGACTCTTGGGCTTCTGTCCATCCAGGAATGAACCCGACCTTCACTCTCACAGAGCCAGGGAAAAGTGGAGTCTCTCTCTCTCTCTCTCTCTCTCATTCTCTCTTCTCTCCTCTCATTCTCTCTCCTCGCCTCTCTCTCATTCTCTCTCTTCTCTTCTCTCTCTCTCTGATATGTTTTTCTAGCTCTCTCTTCACAGCCAACACACTACCTCTCCCTCCTTCCCATCTTCCTCACTCACTCTCTCTTCTCCCAGCCTCCTCTGTGGATGTCTGTCTTATTTCCATTCTCCTTCCTTAAATATGCCAATCACAGCCTTGAAAGCACCCAAATGAGAACATTCTGGGCTTTAAAGTTCTCATGGACTCAGACTTGGGGCTGAGCTGCTGGTTCCCAACCCCAACCAAGAACACACAATAGAGACGACACTATCCCTGCTAGATTATCTTGTGCCTCCAGCCAGGGAGCCCCAAATCCCAAGCCTGCATCTCCCGCCGCTTTCTCTTCTCTGCCCTCCTGACTCCATTCCCTTTTCTACCTGCTACTCTCGGTCTCCTGACCACCATCCTTTTCTGGTTCTAACAAGGTCATTAACACACCAGACCTGTGTCTCCAGAACTACAGGTCGGTCCAGGTTACAGGGGATATTCCTTTTCTGTTACACCACTGCTCACAGAATTGGGCAACTTGAAATCTCTAAGGTTGGGGATATAGCTGAGTTAGCAGGGTACTTGTCTAGCATGCACAAGGTCCTGGGTTCAATGCTCGGCACTGCATAAACTGGATGTGGTAGCACATGCCTGTAATCCCAACACTTGGAAGGTAGAGACCGAACTGAAGTCCAAGGTCGTCCTTGGCCTTATAATGAGTTTGAGGCCAGCCTGGGCTACCCAAGACCCTGCCTCGAAACAAAATAAAACAGCCCCCCGAAGGAGATCTCTCTTCCTCATATACTTCCCTGCTTTCCTCCTATCTTCTCTCTCCAAACCTTTCCCACTCATCCTGTCAGAATGTAGCCATGGCGGAAGTGGTCCTAAGCAACACCTTACCTTTTGCCTTTGGATCTGGCTTACACAGTAAAAGCGGAAGGGGAGGAGCCAACCCACTGTCTCTTCTGGTCAGTTGCTCTGAGCCCCAGTCACATGATATGTAACTGTTCATCATGTTTCTGACTCGGAGTGTGGGGAATCAGTGTCGCTGTGGTCAAAATGTAAGTGTCCATATCTTCTCCTCTGAAAGAGTCCGGTAAAATGTGCGCTCTTCACAAACAACCACAGCCACACTGCCTGGGACAGGGAGACCAAAAAGAACATTCTCGTGTCTGTGGATGTCTGCCGTTCGTTTCTCTGGAAACTCTGGATTTTCTAAAGATGATATTGAAATGTCATTTTCTTTGGCACCTGTGTTTGTGACTGCCTACTGGACTTGCTTCTCACCAAGTTCAGGTGCATGGTGGGGGAGTGTTCTGACATACAGGGTGGGGCTACCATTCTGGTTCAAAGGTAGGAGGCTTTCTTCCAAGAAGGGAGAAATCTGTCCTCAGCTGCCTCTGCTGTCCCCCTGGCCACCTCTACCCAGTGATGAACCAGTTCTACCTGCCCAACTTCTGTTTCCTGCCACTGCTGTCTCTGGCCACTAGGGGCACACAAGTACCTGCCTACCATTTCAGCTGAGCAGGTTGGGTGGATGGTATTACTTTTCAAAATCATGCCTGTCACCCCAGCATCTCAGAAGATGGAGGCATGAGGATCAGGGGTTCAAGATTATCTTCAGCTACATAGTGAGCTGAGGCCAACTTGGGCTACATAAGACCCTGCCTTTAAAAAGTGGGGGAAGCGATGCTCGAGGGAGGGCTCGGTAGTTCAGAGTGCTTGCTGCTTTTACAGAGAACCAGAATTTGGTTCCTAGCACCCACACTGAGTGGTTGGTTCACATCTTCCTGCAACTCCAGCTCCAGGGGATCCAATATCTTCTTGCCTCTGGGGCAGACCTTCACATACATGGCACACACTGACATAGAAACACACAAACACATTTTTAAAAAATTGCCTTACTGGGAATACGGAAGCCTCAAGGAGCCTCTGACACACGACCCCCCAACCTATCTTCAGGTAATGTCTACATCAGCGCTGCCCAACAGAACTAAAATATAAACCACACTCTAAATCTTTCTTGCAACCACAGTAAATTAAGTATGAACAGGTAGAATTAGTAATGTAATATATATATGTTTGTCCTTTTGAGACAGGGTCTCCCTGTAGCCCCAGCTGTCCTGGAACTCACTATGTAGACCAGGCTGGTCTTGAACTCACAGAGATCTGCCTGACTCTCCCTCCCGAATGCTGGGATTAAAGGCGTGTGCCACCATGCCCGGCTATTAGTAATATATTTTATTTAAACCAGTATGCCAGTAGTATATTTTATTTGACCCAGCATATTCAGAATATTCTTGCAGCAAGCAATTGCTGTGAAATTAGTAAAGAGACAATTTTTAAGTTTTAAAAATAATCTGTTTATTTTACACATGTAGTACATCTCAGTTTAGACTGGCCACCTTTGAAGAGCTTGAGAGTCACATAGGGCTAGTTCAGGCCAGTGCAGTGGACAATGTGATCCTACACACATGGCAGACTTAGAAGTTCAGTGTTTGGAAAGTAAAAGAAAGGAAGGTACCATATGCCTCACATGCCACGTGAATTATTTATTCTAACATCACTATGTTTGCTGTAGCTAGATTTCAGCATAATGGAGCACAGGATGCTCAACAGGGTTAAGGAACCTGCCCAAGTTCACCCAGCAAATCTGACTGAAAATCACAGTTTTTAAAAAGATATCATCCTGGGGGCTGGAGAAATGGCTCAGCAGCTAAGAACATTGGTTGTTCTTGCAGAAGACCTGGGTTAGAATCCCAGCACCCACATGGCAACTAACAACTGTCTGTAACTCCAGTTCCAGGGGATCCGACAGCCTCTTCTGTCCTCCGTGGACATTGCACGGCACAGGTGCACTTACCTACATGCAGGCATAACACTCATACACATTAAAAAATAAATAAAAATAAATTTTAAAAAAGATATCCTATCTCCCTCCCTCTGACCTGTTATCAATTACATTTAACACCGACTGAGCCTTTCAAATCTATAGCCTTATTTGGAAACCCACGATTTGGTCTCCATTCTGACAGAGTTCTTGGCATTGACTCTAGGCTCAAGTTCGAGGTTAAATGGTTCCTTCTGAGCCCACACTGGGCTTTCTGAACCTTTTTGTGCTTGTAATTAGCACATTCCCTATGAATCAGACTCCTTTGTCTGGTTTGCCCTGTGGTCACCCCTTCTCCTCTTTGAGGGACCTATAGGAAGTTCCTTGGCTAGTCAGCCTTTGGTCTCCAGCCTCCTCTGGTCCCTTCTGCCTTAATGAAAGTCTTCACACCAGCTCTCAGCTATGACCCAACCCTTCTTACCACAAATCCTTGTCCCCCAAGGAAGCCACTTGATACCCAGATCCACTTTCATGGTGGAGAGATAAAGTACTATCCGCCATCTTTGATAGAGGAGATGACTGAAACTGTCAAACTTTCTGTAAAAGAACTTAATCCCTTTCCTCACAGTCTTGATATGGAGACATCCTTGGGTTCCCCTCAGAAGAAATGTTTTTCATTTTCCCGTCGTAACTGTGGAAATTCCAAGAGATAGACTGTTTGTTTTAAAGGGATGCAATTTTTTATTCAAGTCAGAGAAAGATCATGGGACCAGGCTCCTCTTTTCCATGAAGAGGAACCATCCCTCGAATTTGGGATACAGATTTCCCATGAGTACAGCCTGAGTGCCTCTCTGTCTTCCTACCTCTGTACATCCACAGTAAAGGTCTCAGGGTGTCTGCGGGCTTTGGTGTGGCCTCCTGCAGCACTTGAGATCTACCTCTGCAAACTGCAGCTGGAGGCACCGACAACCTATTCAACCACCAGGCAGCAGTAAAAACCAGAACACACTTGAAAATCACACTTAGATTCCCACACTCAGCAGTTCCATGGCACACACC